GTGACAAATAAAAACGTACGGAGTGCGTTAAACGCTCAGTGGAAAAATCTATGGGAACTTTTTATACTACACCCTAGGGCACAGAGGAAATTATGCCACAACTGAACTGCAGCTCTTAGCAAGGTCAGCCCAGAGTCCAGTTCAGCAGCAGCTCTGAGAAAAATCTTACAGAGGAAAAATCAGATAGCACTGGCTCTCCAGAAACTGCAGGCGCAGCTTGAACCACATATTGTTACAACTGAACCACAGCAGCTCCTGCATTCCCAGCCTCTCCCAAGGCATCCGAAATAGCCCAAGTCTGGGACTCCCAAGGAAAATTTTGTTACGCCCTGCAGAGGAATGTTCCACCCGCGACTGTTGTTTCCTCCCATAAAAGGATCATTAGTGAGATAATTTCTGAAGTTCATGGTATTGTCTACAGATTTTACTGAAATATCGCACCAGGAAGGGGAAGCCAAATGAGCCAGACTATTTTAAGGGTTTTGCATTTGGAGGAAATTCTAGGGCAAAATTTCAAAAAGGCAGATGCTTTGAACTGGGAAATGTTACGCTTCATGAAGAAGGGAGCATTCCTGTCTTTAGAGCTGCTTAAATAACTCTTTTGGGGCCACGTCTATTTGATCAACTTTATTTTTAGATTTAGAATCTGCTTTTTCAGACACCTAAGTACTATTATATACGAACATGTGTATGCGATCAAGACTATTTGGGAAACAGTTTGAAAGTTAAAGACTGACTATAAAAAGCTACTCTGACATCCTTCTCATACCTACAATTCACCTCGAAGACCTGCTCAATCATCTCGGCACCCAGGTGGAGCTCAGAAGCATTATCCCCATCATTACCACTGCCACATTACCAGCCAGACAGCACAGGAGACTCAATCACAGGGAGTACGGTGGCTGGATCTGCAATCAGGATTTTGAAGTTGCTATCCCTAAGGTCTCTTTTTCCTTAAGGAGCATGAAGAGCGCATTCCCATAACCGCATACTGCATATTCCCCACTGGATCTGACTGGCATTTAGATTGCCCTTAACTGGAAGAATAACATGCAGCACTATTCAGAGATGCCTCGGCTGGCAGCACTTCCTCACCATCAGTGATCAGTAAAACATTACCCTGGTCTCAAAACCAAGGCTGGGCTCCCCTCTCCTGGACGGCTGCAAAGGTGCAGCTCTCAACAAGGCTCAGTAAAGCACTGCTCCTCCACGCGAGAGCAAAAGCTGCTTTGCTGGGCTCGGTAAATGACCCCTTCCCCAAAGAGACAGCAAGCTGTTAAAGGCTAAATACCCTCAGTTTGTCTTCTAGGAACCTGCCTGGTATCACTGGTCTCCAAACACGCTACCAAAAAAAGAGATTAGACGAGTTGATGGCAGGTCCCCGTGATCTGGGCAGCACTTGAACCAACGGCCCACACGAGACTCCCAACCCCGTGTTTCGCAGTTAAGGCTGACGGGAGGTGGAAAAGCCAAAGATGAGCTTCCTGAATCAGCTTCTGCACCCACGGCACACGGTGCTCCCTCCCCTGCAAGGGCAGCAGGGATGGCAACCGCTCGTGTGCGCGGCTCTGCGTCCCCACGCAAACCCGGGGCAGGCAGGGCACAGCTAACACCGACAACTGAGAGTAGGGGCTCGGCAGGGAAGCCCCTCCTGGCTTGCTTTGATTTAAACAAGAACATTTTTTTTTTATTTCTACCGCTGCATCTGAGGTTTATGTTTCCTTTGGAAGGAAGTCAGATTGAAAGGATGTTTATGAAAACTATTATTTACTCTCCAGACAAGAATGGCTCCTCTAGCTCTGATACCACGCAGTCAGGCAATTCTGGCAAATGCTGATTACAGACTGCATCGTGAGTTGTTAGGAGAGAACGTGAGCAAAGAAAAGAGGCTTTTGCAAAACACCTTCCAGGTCCAATCTTGCAATAAATACACAAGATCCTGAGCTCCCACTGAAATTCAAGCAGCTGCAACATCAGAGTTCATATACTTTTTTATTTACAGCACGCAGTTTCAGGGACATGATGGATTGCATTGCTCTTCTCAGTGCGTCAAGGGATGGAAATATGTCAAAAGACAGGAATGGCTTTTTCAAAAGCTGGTCTGCTGAAAGTACTGCATACTACAGGCTACAGATATCTCATGTGGTAAGGCAGAGTTATAAACGGGAAAAGATATCTGAAGATTAAACTTTTCGCTGTGGCTGGTTTTAAGCTTTGTTTCAAACCTATTGCAAAAGCTGGTTGCCAACTGTTTCTTTATTAATCAAGGGTGGTTTGCAGTTGTGGTTAATATGATAAAATGCAATAATGATCTTCAGACTGGGCTTCACAGAATGAGACTAGTTATCCATGTGTATGCTTCGATCAAATTTTGCAGGGAAATATTGGTCTTGAGGATACGAGTTTCCTATAAATTTAATAAGAATAGAAGATCAGTAGAAGAAAAAAACCTAATTTTATTGTGGGACCAAACTACAAACTACTACCAGGAAAGGTAAATAAGGAAAAAAGCCCCTTTCAGTAGCAGTGACTCCCTTCCTAGCAGAGCACTGACTTGTCTTAAAGGCACCTTGCTTTCGGTTGTTTCAAAACAATTTCTTACCATACATTGGAAAATGAAACCCTTCCTCTCCAAGTGGGAGAACCAGGCCTCTTGCTCTACAAAAACTTAACATTTCTAGGCATCCTTGATTCCACTGAGAACATGCTAGTAAAACAAAGGCGCCCTTCAGCACAGGAACAGGCGGCTGAAGCTGAAAAGCAAGGTTTTCACCCTGACAATCAGGTATCAACAGGGTGGTCACGTGAAAAAGGTTGCCTCACTCCCCCAGCTAGCACACAGGATAAACTACCGGAGAAAGGAGTGCAGGGGGTGACAGGAACAGCAAATGTTTCTTCTACGTTTCCTGTCTGGTTCTGGGGAGACAAATATAAAATTCCACCTCAAACTGAAATGCAATTCAAGCATTCCTCAGCACTGTAAGATGACCTCTTCTGCTGCGGGTCCCTCTGACCCGCTGACATGCAAGGCTTGAGCTTGCTGACACTTCTTTACTGCTTTAAACTTCAAGGCCCAGCCAAGTCCTGCCACTCTAAGAGTCTGGTTCCAGCAATTCACATCCAAAATGCTCATACAAGCGTGAAATGGTGGACTCGGATTAGAAATGCAGAAACAAAAAGCTCACAGCATTTCAGATTCAAACAATTTTTCTTACCAGAGAACTAACACTTTCAATAATTGAATGGTTTCAGTATTTGTTAGGATCTCTTAAAGTAAGAGACAACTGTTACACTTCCGGGAGACTGTCTGGCCTTAGCCCATGCAGTCCTGCAACTGCAAGCCCTGGCACCCATCTTAAAGCCTGCTTCTACCTTGCAAAGCAGCAAAGTGATGGAAAATGGGAAAATTCACAGCTAAACACAGGAATATTTGTGATTAACTGCAGCTCCAGGTCACTTGAAAGATGCCTTGCACAGACACACCACATACACATGCACGTTTGAAGGCTGTTACTTGGACAGCAATTTAATTGGTTCCTTTGCAACCAAAGGAAATGAAGGGCTGCACAGACAGATCTGCCTCCCCAGTACTTCAGAGCAGGATACTGTCCAAGTCCATCTGTACATGCTTTGGAGAACTTCAAAGGGATTAAAGAGTAAGAAAGCACAGACATAAGGCAAAGCTCTAAACAAAGCTCGCCAAAACTCCATAGCACAGAGACACTTTTGTTATCCTGCAAGCACAGCTGACCATGGCACTGCTTTTGTTCATCTCTCACCGCGTTCATCCTTGGGACCTGCAAGTCCTGAGGTACTTCGGGCAATTCTCAGCCACAGATCTTCCTGATCCCACTCTTTTGCAGTATTCTCTGAATTTGTCACCCCGAATGGGCCGAAAAGGCTACAACAGCACCAGCTTTCCAACCATACCCAAACTCTCCAAGTACTGCACTAGCTTCCACTCCCACCTCAATTTCTGTAATTGCCTCCCCACTTGATTTCTTGCCTCACCTCTGCACAGTGATTACCGGCAGCACCACTCCTAGGTATGTCGCATCCCAAGCACATCCCCAGTCTAATAGCGATACTCAGGGAACCATGCAAACACTGAACTAGTTCTGTGTAAGGTAAGCGTCTCGCATTTTTTGAAAGCAATATGAAGGCATAGAGAAGTTAAATAATTCACTTGGAGCCACAGACTCGGTGGCAGAGGTAAGATTAGAAATACACACCAAGGGCTACTGCAGCAAGAAGTGGAAAATAACAGCCAGCCATGCTGATGAGGGAATAACCATCCCATCCCAGCAACCTAGCCTTAAATCTGGTATTAAAAAGATGAGTCAATGTCGACAATGAGGAAAACAGCATCATGGACGATTCAAGACATTAACGTTCCTGGTCTAAACCAGAACAGACACAGGAAACAGAGCAGCACTGGGCGATACCTCAAAACCAGATAACACGTGCACCAAGCTCAGTGTTCACAAACACTGCAGCCATGGCCGTACTGTTCAATAACGTCCTCTGAGCAAACACATCTTTCAAGCAAAAGGCAAGTGAAAATCTGACAGCTCAATAAGACATGCAAGACGAACTGGCAGTCAGTCACCAGGCTTAGTCACTAGCAACTTCAGGATACTTCAGCAAACAACCTAGTTAAAAGGCTAAATATCCTTTTATTGATCCTTACTCAGTAGCAAATGTGCTTGTACCGATTTAATCCTGTTCATTTTATCATTAGCTTCAGAGTGGCACAGTCGCAAACCTCCTGGCTTTGCTTTTGATTTTTAAATCAATTTCTCATTCACTTGCCTTTGGAGGGTGATCAGAAAGCAGGCTAGAACAGCTGTTCAGTGAGCAGCTCGCAAAGTCATTAGTGTAAGAGACAGCAGAAACATTTCCCTAACAATGAGAGCGGGTTTCTGCCTGCCAGAGCCGTTCCTCAATTCAGCATCGCAAGATGAGAACCCTGGGCATTACCGGAGATGAGACGCACATACCTGCCTGCCATCCTGTCCCACGTTGGTCTGTCCTCTCACTACGGTTCGAATGTTGTCATCCAACCTCCTGGAGAAAAGAATCTATAATGTCAAACGCGTTCTCTGTGTGCCTGACCCAATCAATTTTGGGAACCTTTAGAGCTACAGAACAGATTTAAAATAAAAAACCTGGTGCTACCAGTGCTAAACTCACTTCCCCCCCACACCCCAAGACATCACTATCTTACATAAGTTAAAACTCCTGTTGCATAAATAAAAATCCATTTCCTAATTTAATCAGGGCTTCTTGCATTTCTCTTCCCTTAAGCAATATCGTCAGTTTTCCCTTGTCCGTTTTCATTTCCACTTTCCACATATTAAAGTGCTGTCTCAATCATTTCAGGTTGGTAATGCCAGACTGCACAGAAAATTTACGTATTTCCCACACACCGATATTTATTTTGTACTTTTAATAATGACAATTAAAAAATACAAAACGAGAGGTTTTACAAGTGCTATTTTGACCTCACAAACAGAATAATTTTTCAGCAACCAAATCTTCGAGGTAGTTTGTTCTCTCAGCCTTCAGACCGTACTAAAATTTGGTATTTGTTGATTCTTCATTCATTGTTTTTTCAAAGCTCTGCTTTGCAACCCATCAACTAAAATAACCTGAAAGGCATGTATTATACAGTAGTGGTAAAATATAAAAAAGAATTATAATTACAGGGCATCGTTTTTGTCTCTGTCACACTACTGGACTTGAGACTGACCCTATTCATGCCTTTTAAGCATATTAATTCTTATCAGCTATAGCGCAAAGGCTCTATTTATGAAGACTCAGTGACAACCAGACTACTCGCCACGTGAGATGCAATGAAATGGAGACACGCTTACCTTATTTTCAATCTGATTTTGTTCACAACTTCATCGATGTTTGCCAAAGACTACAACATGAAAAAAAAAAAACCAGAGAGAAGTGAAATGGGGAACCTTTTACTGAGATACCCATCAGCTGTGATACCCAACACATTCTCATGCGTGGCACTTTGCAAAGAGGAGAGCGATGACTTTGTTTTACAGATGGAGGAACCGAGACACACAGCAGCTTAGCTACTCCTCCGGTCATATAATGGAGAGCATCAAAAGACAGGGCAGGGCAGGCCAGGGTGCAGCCCTGCAGGTCGTTGAGGCTCCCCGCTTGCCACCCAGCCCTGAGCAAGCAGGGTGCCCTGAACCCTGCCTCGTCAGCAGAGCTGCTCCCGAAACGCCGTGGTGACAGTGACCTCCAGTGGGCAATGGGGACAGAGCCCTCGCCTTGCCTGGGCAGAGACCCTCCTGCAGAGCCCAGATCCCCAGCACATGGGCTGGAGGAGGCCTGGCTGCTGCCGGAGCGGTAGTGAGGGTACTGCAGGGGAAATAGCTCTCCACTACCCCAGCAAAGGGGAAAAAAGCCAAGCCAGCACCACCAGCAAACTAACTGGGAACAGCTGAAAGCTGAAAAAGCCAGTGCTGCAGAGGATCTTAAACATGGTAAATGTTGGAGCTGCCTCACAACCCAATCTTCAGCTGCAGAAGCACCTCCTTTTTGCAATAGCTTAGTCCAAAACTGCCCCGGGGCTGATTTGGGGAATACAAAGTACAGATATGAACCCACGGCAATCTCATTCTTTACATCTCAAAAGAAACAACAGGTTTCAAACATGGATGACTCTCTAGTGACATTTCACAGGCAACACCCGTCTTATTTGGCTGAAACCACTGAAGATTTACCAATGATTAATAGACAGCAAGTTATAAAATTTACTGCAAGAGAAACCTCTATATAGAAAACTAATTTATTTCCACAGATCAAAGCAGGACTTCCACTTTGGGTGGTAAGAAACTACATAATGACAATGAGCCTCGTGAGATGTGAATTTAAGAAGTGATTATTGTTATAGTCTTACTACCTGTGCTACTGTTTAAAAGAAAAGGCTTGGGTACAGGTTTAAACACGCCTTCAGTCACTTACTATCAGGCTACCCCTCGCACTGAGAGGGCTGTACTGCGAGCACTACTTACTTGCTCAGTGGGAAAGAGAGTATTAATATACTCCACAGCATTGAAATCTGCTCTGTCCAGTGGATCTTGGCTGGGAAATACCTGAAGAGAGGAAGGAAAACAAATACAATCAACAATACATTACCGTTAATTTCTGTAACTTTACACAGTATCTACTACTTTTAACTACTTCGGCACCCACTTCCGATTGTTCCAACAAGCGTGCAGAGAGCGGTCAGGCCTCTGCCCAGGAGTAAAGCAGCTACATGCTCCGGAGGTCTCTGACCTACTAAAATTCCTGTGGATATCAGCCTGGAACAACACAGGTGACATATACGCATGCTTCCACGTACAGCCCCAGCACCATCGATCATGTGCGAGGAATTCCTGAGAGCCATTTTATGCATCCCAAACCATTCTGATGCTTCTGCTGTTGCTTGGAAATGAACCCCCCCTGCTGAGGCATTGCCCTTATCTTTGTCTGGGCTTTGCAAGGCCCCCCTGGTGAGAGATGAAGGATTTGCTTTTCACAGCCACATAATAGGAAACATGATGAATTAAGAAACGGTTGTACAAGTTCTCTGGAGACTTGGGTTTGCTGCTTTCACATGAAAAAGAGGGAAAGAATCTGCTGAATGATTCTTCCTACCCACGGGAAAGGGAAAAGAGCAGCTTCGGTGCAAACAGATCTCATCTCTCCTCAGAAGTAGCTCAAATGATGCAAACGCAGCTGCTAGGCTTTGCTTTTTGTCCCCACAGACTAAAACATGCTACGTTCCCTTCCCTGCTACCATATTAGTTCCATATCTATACAGCCATCAGTTGCGCACTGCACGGTCAAAACCCTGCCTAGCTCACACCGCAGCGTCGCCTCTGCATGTCACCCTGGTCGCGTGCAGCATTGACATTGTTTTACACATTTTGCAGTGTAAAAGCAGCAGGTTTGTGAGACCACTAAAATGAGAGCGACTTCTCCCTGAAACAGGCCTCTTCAGCAGCTTTCCCAAAGCTACTCCTGTGGCCAAGGAGAAGCAGGCAGCAGTTAAATATGCATGAGGTCACGCCTGAGCAAGGAAGATGCTCTGACATTAGCTCATCGTAAAAGCGCAGCTGCAGCATCACAACCAGCCTGTCCTGCTCTGGGCTCACAGCTCCTGCAGGTTCAATTAATCCCAAATCCCCACAAGCATTAAGAGCAGCTGAAGCAAGGGGCAGGATGGAAGACAAAGGCTACTCAGGACCTCCACTCTCAAACTGCAGGCAGAGATCAATGCTGCAGGCAGCTCTACCAGCTAAAGTTGCTACTCCTAGGTCTTTGTCACAACCCATTAATGAGAAATGACTGCCCCACGTTTGGTGGAGCACCAGTCCATGTGTGCTCCCTACCCCGCTTCAGGCAGAAGTCAGCTGAGCCAGTTCTGCTCATTTAAGCAGAACCTGGCAGGTTTTGCCCACAGCTGATTAAGGAACACTCACAGGAACAAGAAGATTATTGGGTTGGGAAGTGCCAGTGAGGAAGTGATGGAAGGCAGGAGGCAGTGTCATCCTCAACATCTCCCCGCACTCAGGATGCGGGTATCTGCCTACAGCCTTACTACCTGTTAAAATAACTCAGCCAGGGATACGGTGCACTCCCCATTGCTCGAAAGCTCAAGTCAACGCTGTCTCTAAAGGTCATATTTTACCTTGAAGAGACATTTTGTGCTTGATGAAAGTGTCATTAGGTAACTTTCTTTGGTTGTACAATGTTAGAAACCACACCAGGCTTCTCTGGCTTTCAAACATACAGGCTCTATGAAGTGCAGTGGATTCTTCTTCTGGACAACTTCCAGGTTTCTTTTAGAAGGTGGCATTTAATTTAGCAATTCTCAAGGTTTCAGCAAAAATTACTTAATGGCTTACTGCCAGGTGTGCCAACCCCAAGCAAAGACAGAGTATGTGGGGTGTCTCTTTCTTTGGAGCAATATTCCACAGCAGGCACAGCACCCACAGAGAAACTGTGCTACCCTCCTCACCTTTGGGTGCTGGGCTGGCTCACTTGAGATGCTGTGCCAGCCACCACAGGTCTGCCCTAGTTCTCTGAGGAGATCCACAAGCCTCAACACTCAAGAAAGTGAGAAAACTTTTTTGAGTGGTACTTTGAGAGACAGCTCCTGTGGCTGTCCACAGGCTACTACTACAAGAAAGAGCTCTTCAGATGGCAGGGTTGGCTGAAGTCAGTGCAAGCTCAGTCAGACTCCAACAGATGTGATTTTACCCCGGGTTCTCACGGACTTTTGCTGGGCTCCAAGTGCTACAAAGGGTTTCAGGGAACACTGAAGGACTTTGGGCTAGAAGGCAATATAGATCACAAAAGTCAAGCCAAGCCATTTAGATCATCCTGACCTCGAGTGAGTCGCAGGCCATTTGACTCCATTAAGACGCTTCTGCACCAAGTAACGAGCATGCAATTAGAAGAGAGACAACAGGCCTGCCCCGCATTC